TAGCCTTTTTTCTTTACTTTTTGAGAGAGAGAGGTGACCTCTTTTCTTTTTCTTTCTAATAATGAATTTTTTTTTCCAGATCTGGCTCTCCAACCTGTAGCGATTATAATTACTTTCCTTGGAAACCACTCCCAGAATACCACTTCCCCATTCAGTTACAGACTTCAATGCAAAAACAGCCTGGTGGGAGTCGCTTTGCAAATGATTTTCTTCAGTTGACACCAGGGCAGTCTTTCCTTATTGTTCTGCTTGTACGTTTTTACTCCCTCCAGACAGGTCTCTGCTGAGTTTCATGGTACGTATTTACAACCATCACTTCATTTCGTGGGCAAGTTCAGACACTGCCCTGTGACGTATGAGTGTCTTCCGAGAACAACATGGGGTCACTCAAGCACTTAGTAAGCACGCCTTCTTATCGACAATCCAATCAGAATTTATTCCCTTCTGCAAATTTTGCATGTCTTTTGTATATGCCAGGCACTGGGATAGGATTTAGGAATACAGAAATAAATGACATAAATTTCATGCTCCAAGAGCTGGGCCACAATTTAGTGGGAGCAATGCAACCCACAGAATATTATTTATGTATTCTGACCTAATAAATGGAAAAGTTGATGAACTAAAGTGCGTCCCTTACAACCAATGGCCTTCAGGGAAGCCAGTCTCTTGTGCCATTACTGCCCCTACACATTCTTTGTGTTTGAGCCACTAACGTTGCGTTTAGGTCAGATGAGAATGTGTTCATCTGCCACGCTATGAAAACCAAGTGAAATGCTGATGGAGATTGTTTGCGATCGTCTCTACGCCGTTGATTGCATGCTGTGGCTCATAATCAGAATGATGAAGAGTAACTGTTAGCCCGACTTGCCGAGGCTCCACTCTGGGTCCCTGCGGCTGTCAGCACTTCGGTCCTGCCGTTCTGCCTGAAGAACGCTGGTCTGGCACCTGACGGACGGCTGAAGCGCAACTTGCTGCTGAGTGCCATGGAAAACTTCGTCCTAGCATCCTCACTGGCTGCTCCTGAAAAATAACCTGAAAAAGCAATATCTGATTATTGAGAGGAAGCAAGTGCTTATTTTTTGTGTTTGACAGATTTCTACATATTGCAGTTTTACTCCAAAAAATTCACATGTGCCTTGCCACGATTATATCTTTTCTCTTTGGCCGTGAAACCGAGCCAAACCTAGTTTTGAATTCTTGCTTTGTCACTTATTGGGTACGTGACCTTGGATAGGTTACTTGTCTCAAACCTTGTTTTTGTCATCTGTACAATGGGCTAATAGAACCTATTTTACAGAGGTTTTGTGAGGATCAGAGCTAATAAATAAAAACTTGGCACAAAATAGCCACTCATAAGTGGTAGTAGTTAATATTAAGGATATTAACTACTTAGTATTAAGGATAATACTAAGTGCTCACTCAGGATGATACTATACAAGGGCAAGACAAAATTTTCCAAAGTCTATAGTTCAAAAATATATTGTAAGTGTGGAATAGATAATATCAGCACAGTTTTTCTGGGTAGGTCTTATGTACCAGAGACACATAATTGGATGGGGACGTTAGAATCCAACCCACAGTGTTTGATAGCGAGGCCTGTGATGCAGAATGTGGTCTGGACCATCCATCACAGGATGCAAAGGTCCCTTTGAAAGCAAATTGAACAGTGTGTGTCATTTAGCTTTGACTGTGTAACAGAGACACTACATAGCACACAACACAGCTTCACCATCTGGTTGTCTCATGGAGAAGCGGTGACCACAAGAGAGATTAAGCCAACCAAAAACTGTTCCTATAAGAACTTCATTTTAGATCCAGGGACCTCTCATTAGCTCCTGAGTTGTACCATCAAAAGAGACCCATTCAGAACAGCTCAGTCCATGTCCTATGTGTAGTGAAGTGTCTAGTGTGAGTTGCCAAAGAGATGCTGTTTCTGATTCCACCTGATGCTAGAATTTACGGTCTGTCTTCTTATCTCCTAATGCCGATTCTGTTTCACATGGTCAAATAGAATAATAGAAGCTTCTTATAAGAGCATGAACCCCACAAAAAATGGTTACTTCCCCTGAAAATTGTGTAAACTGGACAAGGGGTGAACTTTTAGGGAACTTCTGTTGGGAGGTAGCATGTGAAAAGGTTATTTCAGCTCTTCATTCATTGTGGATTCTGGTTTCAGAAGTCTAACTGTATTTCCCTACTTTGTTTCTTCACTTTTGACCTCTCCAGGATATTCCGGCTGGTGCCTGATTGGGCATTTCTCTTCTGCTTTCTGCCCATTCATGCCCTGCGCCCCCAACACCACCCCTGGCCTCCGCCTGCCTGCCTGCTTGTAGGAGCAGTGCTGGCAGGATTTAGAAAGGGTTAGTTACATTCATAACTGGAGGAGGAATTAGCTCCACACTCTGTGCTGATCGTGAGGGTGCTTCACCCTCCCAGCCTTCTCCCAACGATGGTATTTTCCGAGTGTTGCTAGTCAGTCACATCTGTAGGAAGAGCACAGTTTTCTCAGTCGAGGACCAGGCTGCGCCGTGCAGCTCAAGCCAACTGCCACAAATGTTACACCAAACCAACCGTTCTCTTTGAGAAGGAAATTAGATTAGAAATATTAACACCACACACACATTCCAACTCTCGATATCTTCTAAATATGGTAAAGTCTGTTTTTTTTTAAGGTTTTGAAGTTCATACAATGTGATTATGATTTTGGGGTCACTCAGGAATTTATAGTTTTCAGTTGAGCTTTCTCCATATCATTGAGTAAATGCTCTGTGATCAGACTGAAAATGAGTCAGTCTTGGGATCTCCCACTCGAACTGGGCATCTCTGTCCATCGTTAGCCCTAGTCTTTAACATTTTATCTCCTCTTAATATATTGGAAACTCGCTGAATATTGTAACTTGTGATATTTGCTATGTATAAGTGCTAGTTAGTATTCTTCTAAGCTACTCCCATTTAAACCAAAACAATCTCTGTTGTTAACACGTCTTATTTATACAATCTGCCTTTGCAATCTTGACAAAAATGTAGAAAAAAGAACCACATGCTACCTCACATGTGGTCTTTTCTCATAAACGTGGGACACTTTGGTAGAGTCTGTAAATTCAGTGAATACATATTCAATGTTTGCTCCCCCCAGTGCAGTGCTCTTGCGTATCCTTAAAAATTGGCAAGGAGATGGGTGTGTTGGTATTCAAAGAGGCTTACGCTACATCAGATGAAATGTTTTCGGACTGCAAAACAAGGTGAAGACTATCATAGTATATCGTGAATAATAGTATGTGTGTGTAGGTGATTTTACTTATTTAAGTACACATCTAATAAACTGTGTGTGCTTGAGCACAGGAGAGAGCCTGGAGCCGTGTATACCAAAATGTTCATGGTAATTATTAATGGGACTTCTGCTGATTTCTATCACTCGGGTGGTTTCTCCCTTATCTACATTATCTAATTGCTCATAGTAAACAGTTTTACTCTGTTCTCATTTTTCTTAACTGATTTGGGGGAGGACAGGGGAAGAATACAAGTGCTGACATTTGGGTAAATTATGAATTATGAAAATCCCGTGTGCTCCTTCTCTAGTATCACAGATATGTAGACATGTCGTACCACATGGCATCGAAGCTTTTTAAGTCTCATCTGTGTGCCAAGCAAGCACTGCACTGGGAACTCGCGACATCGTATGAAGTGGGTGCTTTTATTACCATTATGCCAATGAGGGGGGTGCCGAGAGTTTAGGCAACTTGAATCACACAGCAGGTCTGACTGTGAAATCAGTGGTGTGGTCTTCACGATGCTTCTGGTCGACATCTTGTCTGCCTTTAGGGTGAAAAGGTTAATGTATATGAGTGGATAGTAAAGTGTTGCCTTAAAAAGAAGGTGCCCAGAGGTTTTACCAGCATGTACTATCTTTCACTGCTTGTGTTGTCTCCTGTCGTGTTTTCAATTAGAGTATAAACTTCTCCAGAGGCAGAATCTCATCATGTCCGTGGCCCCCGCCTCTCCTGGTGCAGTGTGACAATACAGTGCTGCCTTCTCTCTGGGACTGTGAGGCATGCCTTTCAGGTTCTGAGCAACGGGGGCTGAGAATCTGCCGCCAGCAGACGTGCTGAGGGGAAGACTCCCCCTACTGCCCCAGTGGCCAGACCGCTCTTTCTTCTAGCAAAAGGGAGGAAAAGCAGTGGCCTTCATATGGCTCCTAGACTTACTCCCAAATGCCTTGGGATCATGTGAAAATTGCCTGTCTTCGGAACTAGTGGGGCTTTGCCTCACTTCTCCGCCCCACCCTCTAAACCTGTCTGCAAATTTTAAAAAACTTGGATCTTGAACTTGGTTCCTTCTGTGATACAGATGACAGTCTGCTGCTGTCACTCCCTTATCTCCCTTTGTCTTTCAGGCTTCCCCTTCCAGCACGCACATCATCTCGGTTCTTTCCCACACTTTATCTCAGGCACCGTGGCTTCCTCACGGGGTTACTCAGTCGGCCTGATATGTGGCCCCCAGCGCCTCGCTGCCAAGTCTGCTTTCCCATCTGAGCCCAATTAGAGGGACCCTTGGGGTCACTGACTCCAGTGGGGGGTGCGTGGAGTTGTGGGTCTACCATCTGGGAAAGGGCAAAGTGCAGTCACGGGCACTCTGGCTCCTTGTTGGCACAGCTCCAGTTAGCCGCACGGTGGGGATGTGGACATGGCATTTAAAATACCCACCTAAAAATGCGTTTCTCAAGCACCACAGTTTGTGTTCCTTCATCGTAAAGCTTGCGTCTCTTGTGATAAAGGAATCACGCATGGGATTGCTTTCTGGATGTTAATTGTTCAAAGCTCTTTTTAAAAGATTCATGCAGTCAGCTACATTAGTATATACCCATGGTTCTCAAACATTCACTGTGCACCTAGTAAATGCCAAAGCGCCAGGGGCTAGAATTGCTCACACCCTCTGGGCCCACATGCCTGTGCTGGGTTACAGAATCCACTTAATGTTGTGCAAATCTTTTTCTCTTTCAGTTTTCCAAAGAAATTAGTTTGTTTTCTGGGTGCAGAGAAACCAGTCTGCTGTCTTCATAGGGTGAGTGATCCTTCAACTCCTTCTGTATTTTCACACTCATCAAAATCTTATCCAATGACTGCTGTGCTCTAAGAAAAAATGCCTGACAGCACATATTCTCTAGAAGTTTTCTTCCCTTTGGAACCAAGATGTTCTTCTACTCGTCACACCTCGTCCTCCCTTTGGAGGCCGTGGCTTTCCCCTTGTGTTTTTCTGCTGTTTCTTTTTGCTCTTCACACTTGTTGCCTCTTGTGAGTTGCTACCATCACTGCTGTTACCTTGAACAGCTTGCAGGAAGATGACAGAGGAAGCTTCTTTTTTTTTTAAGTGACTGTTGCACAGAAACACGGCCACGGGCGAGGGGAACCCATTTGTTTTGTCCACATGGCGCACTGTCCTTTCAGGAATGCCTGGCAGAGACAGTGCTGGATGGGGCCTGAGAGTCCATCTGGCCGAAGCCCCTATTTACGACAGCTGCCGTGGCCCAGAGGGCTTCACGCCCCTGCCCTGAGGGCTTCTGAGACCGCAGTGGAGCTGGGGTCAAGAGAAAGGCGTTTGACTCCCAGCTGAGTGGTCTCGGGTCCCCTCAGGCCTCTCCACAGAACTGTCTTTTGAATCCCAATGCCTTCTGTGGATACAGAGTTACCGGTGGCTGGACCTGAGGGAATACTGATAAACTAATGGTAACATCCCTCCAAGGCAAGTGTTGGGAGTGTCCAGTTTAGCTGTTTAACTTTCTAGAAACCACACTAGGCTACTACCAAGAGAGGCAGTGGAACGGACAGTCCCCCAGTACTTCTGTGATGGACCTCCTCTGACAGGGCGCGTTTTCCTCTGCACCTTTCCCAAACCACTGCATTTGCAATGCCGCATCATATGGGGAGACTCGGGGCTAAATCTGCGTTGCCGCTAGACACCGTGATGCAGCTGTGCCCCGGCCAGCTGCAGCCCTGCAGCCCCCACTCGGGACTTTCTGCACCTGCAGGGTAATGCTTAACAGGTTTCTTACAGCATAGTGTGAACCTGGCCTGCCATCATAGAGACTTTCAGGGGAACATTTCTTCATGTAAAAAAACAAAAAAGCTATACCGTTTTTAACATGAGCATTCAGTTGTGCGGCGTGATGGAGAGAAGTGTGAGAACTCAGTTCTCCACTGGAATCCCAGACGGTGGGCTTGCCTGTGGTTCTGTCAAAGCTTCCGGTGCTAGTTCTGGCTCTGGACTGCGGTCACTGACGTTGGTGAGCTAAGCACGCTTGTTTCCAAAACACTTCATCCCACTAGGCATTGGCTCAAGTGTAGTACTGAGAGCCCGTGTCTACTATTTCATCCCACTCATCAACATAATCATTTCACCTTAACACGTAGAGGCTTCTTCTCAGCCCTAACCGCAGTCGTTTTTAAGGAACTCAATGTGTCTCCTTATTACGGTACAGAGATGGTCTGCTTTCTACCAATGTCCTGAGCGGAATTGAGAATATGGGTTGCTGATTCACTGGCGTATGACTGATACAGATCTTTCCTGTCCCCATATGCTTGGTATGCATGAGTGTACATTCATTAGAAGTGTGAACCCAAGGGTTTCCATTTCCTCATCTTACCCTAAAAAGCCCAAAAGGTTTATGCCCAGAGCACAGTGCAGTATGGCATGGGTTGTTGAGATCTGCTGCTCTTAGGGGGGTGCAGCTAAGGGTCTCTGTGGTATCAAGAGGCTAATAAGACCTCTTGCCGACAAACTTCCTCCCTTCCTCAAGTATAAAACTTTAAAAAACAACAAAAAAGAAAATAGAGGACAACTAAGGACCTTCGGAAAGTGGGGAGGGCCAGATTTCATGCCTACTTGTACAGTTCTTTCAGTGAAGAATGAACTGGTAGAGAGGGGTCTGAGCTAAAAAGTGGTAAATTGATAAAATAAGACCACCTGAGCTGATGCAGGCCACTTGTGGCTCCGCTGGGGTCACAAGTCATTTGACATCGACAGTCAGTAGCTATCAAATTATTACCCAAAATATAACAAGCTTTTTGCTTCTATCAGTGGCGGGGGCTGGCAGAGGGACTCAGTACAAACCGAAGCCATGAGTTTCTTACTTAAAAAGCAGCTGCGAGGCTGGTCCCCGCACTTTGGGTTTGTACCACGCAAATCCACATGCCACATGCATGTACACCTTGTCAAACAGGGGTGGCTGGGCTCCATTTCATGCTGGGCAGCGGGGCTGGACCCTGAGACAATGCTGCTGTTGTTCTTAGCTAAACTTACACTGTGCTCACCATCAATGGTATCCCTTTAAGGGAAACCTAGGGAAATGCTCTTGCCAGTGCTGAGATTTTATTTGCTAGAGGCCAAGTAGCAGTGGCATGTATTGGTTCCATAGCAACATGTCTGTGCAGCCAGAAAAAATACAATGACTGTGGCAGCCAGCATATCCTGGGCAGGACAAGTGCAGCCCTGACACCCCCGTTTATTTTTACTTTATCCTGGCCTGACTTTCCCTCCTGTAGAGCATGTGGAGTTCGTAATTGTTACCATCTATCCCTGCTGTTAACACTTGCCTCCTTTCTCTCTGGAGCTTGGGACTGGATGAGGGAGAAGGCAATGTCTGTAGTAAAATTCTGTAGGCCGCTGGGTGTGCCAGCAGGGCTGGCAGAACCTCTCTGCCTTAGGGAGCGACAGTAGGTGGGGAGTCTGTGCTTTTCACCCTCCCTGCGGTGGAGCTGCTCTATGAGGAGGCACAGTGGGCTCAGCATTTCCTGTCCAGTGCGGTCAGCTGCTCTGGCTGGAATGTGGACAGTGAACCGGAGCAGTGAGCAGTCTGGGAAACAGAGCACCCACTAAATGTGCTCCGCAGATTCAGGAGACACCTACCAGTGCCGGGCACAGCAGGGCTGCAGAAGCGGCCCAGCACACTCTGAGTCTCCTGGGAGCTTCTGCCCAAGGTGCAGGTCCTGGGTGCGGGTGCTCCAGTGTGCGTAGCTGGGGTTTTAACATTTTCCTCACCTGTGACACTCTCCAGGTAATCACTGTTGATTTCAACAGAGGCTTTCCCCCCTCAGCTCCTGAAGCATTTTGAAAAATCTTTGCCATCTACTTGACACTTATCTTGGATTTCCTTTTTTGATACATAAGTTTGGGGAGCCTGAGCAGTCTTTTTAGGTAGAGGATGAGGCCCCCACACTCAGGAACTATCTATCTTATTCTTCGTCTTTTTTTTTTTAATTTCTGTGATACTCGGAACCGAGCCCTGTAGATAGTAACCATGCCTTCAGTATTTCTGCATGAAACAGTATAGTCTCGTCCTATCTCATAAGGAGGTTGTGGAGCAAGTATGTCAGTATACTGAAAGTATTTTTAAATTCTTTGGAGAAAAGAGAAATTAAAAAATTCTTTATTCTGGTGTGGTTTTTAAAAACATGTATTCAGTAGATATGAAATCACAAGGTAAAAATATCTCAAGGCTTCACATTTCCCTATCTTCCTCTTTGTGGCTACCAGCTACGAACTGTGGAGCCTGTGTGTTTATGCTGTCACTGAAGTCACTCTTCTTCCCAGCCCAGCCCACAGCGTTCACCACTGCTGATGAATTCGCCTTATTATACTGTTTGGGCCAGACTTTTCAGTCAGATACTGAGCAGTGTCTTTGGAGCTATTAAGTAAGAGAAGTGAAGGAGTTTTCATTAAGGTGACAGGTTTGAAAGATTTGGATAGTGGTCCCTAATTTAGTTTTGAGGTGTCTGTTGGGAGAAGGAAGGCTTGTATTGTATAAAAACTTTTATCTTAAGAGTTCTCCCTTCCCAAGTTGTAAGCCAACTGAGAAATCAGACAAGTGTAATAAGGCAGATGGAGGCCAAAATGAACTTTTTTGATTGGTAACAGTTAACTGAATTAGAAATTGTATCTTGGTTTGAGAGCCGAAAATGGACTTTTACCTCCGTATTCCCCAGTCTGGGCCTGATAACAGTTCACCTTCAGGAACATTTTGTCTTTGAGTAGGTCACTGTGTGTGTGTGTGTGTGTGAAGAAAGAGGGAGAAAGACACCAACATCCATTTCCACCTCCCCATTCCTGTGCTCAAAATTCTAACTGTGCCCAGTGGAGGTAACGTTACCCAGGGAGAGGCATGGACCACCACGCCAGCTGTCACTCCCAGCCCGATCCTCACTGCACATCCTTGGGAAAGAAAAGCGGAGGGAATAAGAGGCCGGGAGAGTTTAGGGAACATCCTCTGTAGAGAAAACGGGGTGGCAAATGGAGTTCCCCCCTGGCTCTGCTCACATCCCTCACTCTCTACACTTTAGTCAGGCAGCTGCCCCCCCGTCTCACTTGAGCCATCTACCCACGGTGATTATTCCTAGCTCTTTGCTCCACATATTTGTTCACTGGTTTATTGTTAGTCTCCTCCATTAAATACTAGCTCAGTGAAAGCAGCATCCTTGTCCGTCTCACTTACTGCTGTATCCTGGTACTTAAAACTGTGCCGAGCTCATAAAAGGCATTTGATAAGCATTCACTGAATGGATAAGTGAGTAAGTATTGTTTTCTGCCTCTTCGCATACCCCTTAATTTCCTGGGTGTCCCGGTACCATCTTGCCTGGCAAGCACCTATTCATATTTGTGAGACTCAATTCCACTATTTTTCCCGGCCTCCCTTCTTCCAAGGCAAAGAGCACTTCTTGTTTGTAAGTCACCAGTTTGCCAGTTGATGTGCACACGTGTGTGTGCGCACGTCTGTGTGTGTGCCTGTTTGCATCTGTTGTGTGTTAATTTGTGTATTCGCTCTCTCTCTCTCTCTGTTTTGGTCTGCGGCTCTGTAACACTTCAGTTCACTTATTCATTAACATATAATCCTTACTGGAATGTACACTCTTCGGGAACTGGGCAGCCTCTTTTTCATCCTTGTTTGTCTTCTATCTGGCATGTAGTAGCTGCTCAGTTAATAATAACATTAGCATTCTAAGGACTCACAACGGGCCAGGTACTGCTGTATCTTACTATATTTGACTCCTGAACAATTTGTGACTAGGGGT